TCAAAAGGTTGATGTGCTATACAATCCTCTCTCTGGCATCCAAAACCATTACCTTGAAAAAAAAAGTGATGCTTACTCTCTGTAAAACTGTCTGATCTTTCCACTGAACACATAGATCATTATCCTAAGATAATGACTGACTGAGCCACTATTCCAACTGACCTTGGAGCTCCTGCCAGTTTCATGCTTCATCCCACAGGCAGAGAGCACATCCCTTGTTTCATGTGTAGGTCCAGGAGTTCAAATCCCTGATGCAGCAGTCCTAGGCTGTTCAATTTCAATGCAGTGATGTAACCATTCTTAGCCTCCATTGTTTTGGTCTCTGAAATGAGAATGGTAATATCCACCTTGCAAAGTTGTTGAAATAGAACACAATCAGTGATACCTATTCATCATAGTCAATTTTTTGAAAGAAAAAATACAGTAAGTTCTATATAAATTCCAAAGTTCTATATAAATTCTGGTGGATAGGTTGTGGGTAAGCAAAGTGAAGGGACAGTTTTAGGAGAAGACGGTTCTTAAGTGGACCTTGAAAATCATCAGAGAGGCCCGTGTAGGTCATTTTGGGGATTGCCTGACCTGGGCAGAGTCCTTCCAGGCATTAATTGACTTATTTGTTCATTAAATAAGAATAATCCCTGTGTTGACCCATTGCCTGGAATACCTGTTTTCTATCTTACCCTACAAGGACTTGTCTTCAATCCAACTCATCTTTCAGCACCAGACACACCTTCCCTGACCCCCACAGTAGAATCACTTGCCCACCCATTCACCTATCATCTGTGTAGCGTGGTCATTCTGCAGTGGTCATACACTTCTCGTTATGCTGAGATTTTTTTTTTTTTTTTTTGCCTATCTGACTCTTCCTGGAAAGTAATCTCTTTGACAACAGGGTTTGTGTCTCCTTTTTGTATCTCCAGCAATATTAGAAGCCTAATGAATGTTTGTACAACCAAGTGTGTCTGTAGTGCTTGGTAGTTTATAAAATGCCTTATGTTCGTCATCTCAGAACATTTTAGGTGCTCCTCAGAACAATCCTTGGAGTAGGCCTGAAAGATCCATATTTTAACTCCATTTTGAAAATGTGGAACCAAAATGAAATGCTTTGTGAACCTCAGTTGCTTCTGAAGAGCACGGATTCATAACTAAGGGAGACAAGGCAAGAGAAAAGTGACATATTTTATGAGAAAAAAACAGTGTTGCAAATTTTTCAGACAGGCCTTAACAAGACCTCATGGAAAAGCAGAAAGAATAAGGGGTTGGGTTAAAAAATAATAATAATACTAATAAAATTCTAACTCTGTTTCTGCCATGTATAAGCTCAGTAATGTTTAAGAGAAAGAGAAAAAAAGTTGACCCAACTTCTTGGAGTGTCTTTCCTCATCTGCAAAGTGAGGACAGTAGTACCTCCTTGGATTACTGCAAAAATAAATTTTAGAATGTATACAAAGCATATAAAGTATGTTTTCAAGCAAATATCCAAGAAACAGTAATTCATCCTAGCTAACCCTCCCTTGGAGTTTAGGAAATGGGGTAGCATAAGATTGGAAGAGAGTTTGCAGGGGCTTCATGAAATAGGTAACATAGAACCTGAACTTACACAGCTGATCCAGCAGAGATGGGTATAAGAGGTGCTTCAGGATGAAGAAATGGGCTGAGAAAAGCTAAGAAGACAGGTAAGTATAGTGTGTGGTTCAACGAACCGTTATATAAGAGTGAATTTATGTCGGTGGTGTATGTGTGTCTGGATGCATATGTATGTGTGTGCATGCATGTGGGTTGGTATAATGTGTATGTGTTTGTGTGTGGAATGCAGAGAAATGGGAAATGATGCTGGGAACATGGTGTGAGAACAAGGAAGTGCTCAAGGAATATCACCCACAGAGCAAGGAGCTCATTCTGTAGCATTTGGGGGGCCTGGAGAAAAATTGCTAGGCAGGGAAGGAAAGTACAAAGCCTGTCAACCTTGCAGAAGAGGAGGTGGCATTAGCTGGTGTGGCACATTGGAGGAAGGAGAGACCATGTATTAGACTGTTTCTGTTGCTTATAACAAAATACCTGAAACTGGGTAATTTACAAAGAAACAATATTTATTGCTTACAGCTTTGGAGGCTGGGAAGTCAAAAGTCCAGGGAACAGATCTGGTCAGAGCCTTGTTGGTAGGAAGTGACTCTTCACGGCAAAGCTGGGTGTCACCTGGTAAATGGTGGGAGCAGAGAGGGAGCTAACTCCTCATTACTTCTCCTTTTAAATCCATCAGAACCACACCCACAACCACCATTAAACCATCAATATATTAATCCATTTACTTGGGCAGGGTCCTCACAATCTAATCATCTCTTCCATGCCCCACCTTTCAATTACTATAATAGAATTTCCCACCCTCTTAACACTGTCACAGGGGGGATTAAGTTTCTAACAGGTGGACTTTGGGGGACACAATTCAATCCCCAGCAGACCACATCTGGGGAAAAGAGTGAGGCCAGAATGGCAGGGTGAGCAGAGGGACACCACACAGGTTGGAAAGGAAAGTAGAGTCATGCATAGCTTAATGATGGGGATACATTCTGAGAAATGTGTCATAAGGCAATTTCATCATTGTGCAAAATTGTATCATGAAGGGAACAGCGAAGAATTTTCCTATTATCTACACTAGCCACTAGCTGCATGAGCACGGGCCCTCTAATTATGTTACTCAGTCTCTCTGTGCCACACTTTCCTCATCTGTAAAATGGGGATTAGAACAATACCACCCCACAAAGTTATGAAAATTAAGTTACAGGTAGGGTTTGTGCCTGGCGCTCTGCAAGCACTCAGTGAGTGTTAGCTAACTGTTATTAACAATTGTTTTGCTATCAGGATGGGTGAGAATAATTTAAAAATGCAATTCTAAGGTAGACAACACCCTTTCACTTTGTGTCAGACCTAAGTTGGTTTTCTATCTTAAAGGTCTCAGCACCTTTGGAAGGTCACCCAGTGGCTAAGCTAGGCACTCCTCCTCAACATATTTTTGCAGGAGGTTTGTTTACACCAGCATTACCACAATCACGTGAGTAATGTGCTGTGGCTACAAAGTCACTGGGCAATAGGAATTTTTCAGTTTCCTTATAACCTTATGGGACCAACATCACATATGTGGTCCATTGACAGAAATATTATTATGCTGTGCATGACGGTGCTTCTCAGATGGCTGCTTAATGGGGAAAAGAGGAATTAACACTGATTCTGAGATGTGAGGCAGAGTCACTGGGGAATGTGGTGCCATCCAGAGATTTATAAATCAGAGGGATGTGGAAATGGTCAGGGCCAAGCAGCCAACTAGGATTTTTGGTTTGGGGGAAAAGGGAGGGAATTCTTTTAAAGTCATATATTGAAGTTCAAACGTTTGTTTTTTTAAAAAATCCCCTCCTGGGCTTCTATCATTAGAACTTTATTCCAAAGCTTTTCAAGACTCCTTGGTTTCCCCAGAGAACTTTTGTTTGAAGGCAAATACCAGGGGAGAAGTGACACCTTCTCCTTAGTTAGCCAATGGCCCAGGGAGGAGGTAATGCTCATTAGTCATCAGGCCAGAAAGCTCTAGGAGAAGGACAGGCCCCCATGGAGAGGAATTTGTGTGAGAGCCATAAGAAAGATGCAAGCAAAATGCTACAGTGCTCTGGGAGCAACAGAGTAACGATCACGTGCCACCAGGGCAATCAGAGACATCCCCATGAGGTCCCAGCACTTAATCTGGGGCAGAGGAGGGCTGGAAGTGGAGGTGGGAGGGGTGAGCATGATGGATTTCACTAAGGGCCAACCTGAGCTCATCAGGGACCAACAAAAGAGCAATGTCCTTAATCTTCTGCACACTTTAGAGAGAGATTATAAATATTGTTATGGCTTTAGGCTCATGCTGAGGCAAAGATGCATTATCTCATCTGCTCACAGTGACCTAGGCGTGAGGCTCTTTCACAAGGTAGCCTTGTGTACTCTTTGCCTCTAGCCCTTTCCTTTCCTGCCAGATTATACACCATCAGTGTTGTCACAGCCACACCTTCTCTAATGATGAAAATGGATCACCGAACCTTCTAAATCAATTCTTCTGTCCATTTTCTTAGGAGGGAAGCTGACAGTCATAAGCTAGCTTCCATGAACTCAGCTTTGGGTACCCAATTAAACTCAGCTGAAAGCCCTACAAAGGTCAGCACCCAAGGGCCCTGTGCCGACGACACCACCATCTTCCCATTCCAATTCCTCCCAAAGTTGTTTATTTTCTTTTTTTTTTTTTCTAAAAGATGACCGGTAAGGGGATCTTAACCCTTGACTTGGTGTTGTCAGCACCACGCTCACCCAATGAGCTAACCGGCCATCCCTATATGGGATCCGAACCCGGGGCCTTGGTGTTATCAGCACCGCACTCTCCCGAGTGAGTCACGGGCCGGCCCCAAAGTTGTTTATTTTCTGACAAAGCACTTATAGTTGTGGGGCATTGGGGCCCAGTGCACCATCCCCAGCTGAAAAGCAAACCCCACCATGTGTGGCCTACAGCAGCATGACATCACCATTAGGGATCAATCAACTTTACAATACCACGACAAATATCAACCCATATAAAACCATGTTAGTGTCTCAGTACATACAAACCCTCTTGATAAACAGCACCCACAAAAGAGGTATACTTTGTCTCTTCCAATAAGAGTGAATAACCCCTAAGTTATTTATTAGGGGCTCTGGTATGAATTACATGGTTTTACTGGAAGATTACTAATTCCGCAATTTTTTTTATACACGGTAATATCCATTCATTTAAAATTTTATCAAATATCTATTATCAGTCAATAATAAAGTTTGACTATTATTATATTATAATATGCTCATTTCAGTATTGGGCAAAACTACAAAAGAAGTAAAAGGCATTAATGATGACTAGAATGGCAAACTCAGGAGGCTAGGAAGGACTTAAAACTCTAGAATCCCAGCCTCCCCTGTAGAACTCTAGCGCCCTTTCTACAGCCCCTTCAAAGTATCATCAAACCTCAACTTCAGCAACCCATGCCATGAAATATGGTTTTTTTAGTAATCGTCCAAGCTGTTTTCAGATAGCTGGGATTTATACATGTTCTTCCATAGCCCTTTAGAACTTCTCTTAAGCGTTCTGGGGTTTTTTCAACTGGAATTTGGGGAAAAAAAAAAAAAAAACTTAAACAATAAAAGTAGTAATAAAAGACCCAGTCTCTACTTTTCTCCACATGATGACAGATAATATTACTGTAGCTCTCCTGGTCTCCTTAGTCTTTTCTATTTCATGTAAATAGCTGCCTATCTTTCAACTTTCCCATAGGTGGAAATATATTTAAGGGGATAAGAATAAACCCAAAGCTCAAGCTGTAAAAAGACTAGTGGTAATGAACCATGGCTACTGATCACAGTGAGGCAACCAGGATCTATTGCTAAAAGGTGATCCCAAGTTAACAAAGGACTCAGGGAGGCTCAGAAGACCCAAAAGCCTCATCCCTCTCTTTGTGTCTTTAACTCTTCCACCCAGTTGGCCATCATCTCCATATTTCTAGAATGGGGCAAACTAGCCAGAATAATCTGTATCTCGTTAGGTTTTCTATTTTGTTTTGTTTTAACTATATATCCTGACATACTCCTGCTATATAGGGCAAGAACAAGAAAGGAAAAGAGGTTAGATTGGTGGCTGTCTTAGTTTGGGCAGCCATAACAAAATATCATAGACTAGGTAGATTATAAACAACAGAAATTTATTTCTCACAGCTCTGGAGGTTGGAAGTTCAAGATCAGGGTGTCAGCATGATTTGAATTCTGGTGAGGGCTCTCTTCTGGGTTATAGACTGCTGATGTTTGTATCCTCACATGGCAGAAACAGAGAAAGAGCTCTCTGGGGTTCTAAAGGCACTAATCCTATTCATAAAGGCTTCGCCCTTATGAATTAATCACTTCCCAAAGGCCCCCCCTCCTAATACTATCACTTTCAGGGTTAGGATTTCAAAATATGAATTTGGAGGAGCACAAACAGTCTGACCATAACAGTGGCAAGTGTACTTGTTAGCTGAACTCATCCATTATCAGTCTGTGGCATAAACACTGCTTTACAATCAAATTTTACATAAAATACCTTCCTTTCATTGGCTGATTTCTCACTTCAAGACATAACCCATTCTAATTATGACTTAATCATTTTCTGCTGAAGAGTTTTATGTTTATTAATAACAACGATTTCACAATTATTACAAGAAAGAATATCAAGTCTTTGTGATAGAATTACCTTTTGTATGAAAACTTGTGGAGACTTTTCAGAGCAAATGGTACCTTGAGTTTGGCAGAATGTTCATGACCAAGCCTCATTCAACCTCAGGTAGGAATAAGGGAGTTGAAAACCTGAGGAGCTGGAGGAGCTGAAGAGGTTAGGTTTGACCAGCAGGTGGAGGGGGACAGTTGATTGAAAAGAGAGAAATCCATAAATTTGTCCCAATTCCATGAGGGAAAAACCCTCTCACATTCATCAATATTCCCTCAGCATTTAGCACAATGACTACCACTAATAAAGTAAGTGGACTGGATCATGAAGCAATGAGTAATCAATTAATGGATATCAGGAATCCACAAATGAGTTTCAGGCCAGCCATTGGTTCCAGCTTAAAGCAGAAAAGCCAGGGAAAAGGAATCCTAATTGCCTCATGTTTGTTCAGCCACTTCTCCAGACTAGGAGGAAAGCCCATGACTCAAACTCTGCCTATGGCAAAGGGGAAGAGCCAGGCTATAGAGTAGGGAGCTTCCCTTCTGCTTTATTTCTTGGGACACTGAACCTATTGGGCAAAACAGCATGAAAATTCTTAAGGTCATCCCTCTATGCATCTGAATTGAAAAGGATGGGATGGAATAAACAGAACTTAATTCCAAGACACTGCTTTATTTCTTGGGACACTGAACCTATTGGGCAAAACAGCATGAAAATTCTTAAGGTCAGCCCTCTATGCATCTGAATTGAAAAGGATGGAATGGAATAAACAGAACTTAATTGCAAGACAGAGAAGTGAGCAGACATTGACCAAATTCAGCTAAAGAGATGGGCACTTCCACCAGACTGTTAGATCACCTTTAACTCAGGTGGAGCCATAGGGCCACACAGACACATCTGAGTTCTCCAATAATTTCTGTAATTGTGGAAGGCCTGCAAAGGTGTGTGACCAGTGACCACCAGATAAACCATCTAAGGTCCCAGGAGTCAGCCCCTATTTGCGCTGGCCTGCAGCTCCTTCTGGTCATGTGTTATCTCCCTGCATCACATGATGTTCTGGGCTTTATGTATGAACTTTAGAGGAAAAGGAATCCAAGTGTGTGGAAGAAATGAAAGATTTTTTTCTCATTTTAGTTATTATTATTATTTCAATGCCTTTTGGGATCCTAGAGGCACATTGTGCATTGGAAGGCTATCAAGAATTTGCAATTGAAGGGACAGTGATAAAGCAGAGGGAACATTTTGACCAGCCCTCTGGCTCCCACTGCAGCCACAGGGTAGGGCTGGGGCTTCAGGCCCTGGGGACAGCCCTAGGCAAAGCAGGAAGGGAACCAAACGGAGAGCCCCAGAGGAAGAGCAGGAGGTAAGGGGGAGAGTGCCAGTGATGAAAGAAGAGTGCTGAGGAATCCCGTTCCAGAAACACTTTATCCTCCCCTTCTGATGGGGCTGTAATTACAGGGGGGTTGAGCTGATGAGGCACGAAGGACCTTTTCCACTTATGTTTGCATCTTTCCTCCATTATCATCTTTGAGAAAAAACGTTCACTTACAGATGAATAAATGGCTCGGAAATCAGACCATCCTCTCAGTGAGTCTTAAGTCCCCGCATATGGGCTGAATTTATCTAGAACTACCTCTTTGACTATCAGAAGATCTGATAACTGCCCCATGTGCGCACTTCTCCAGGTGCTGGGGCAGATCTCTGGGAAGAAAGACAGCAGTTATCTGCCCCCCAGTGCCCCATTTGGAAAGTGTCCTCTTCCAGAACACAGATGGCAATTCGAAACTACTTATGAAAAAGGCATGGCACCCACCCACAGTGTGGTTGGGAGAAATACACCTCACCCCATGCAGAGTTCACGATGGCAAGTGGAGAGGCTCGGTTTCTGGGGGAGACACAAACACTTAGAAGTCAGTGAGGCTTGAAATAGTAGGAACAAGATTGCCGGAAAAGCCAGGACTTCATCTGTGTCTTGAAGACTAAAAAGGAAGACATGGAGCTGGGCCTTCCAGGCAGTGTAATGACACAATAAACAAAGGCACAGATGTGGAAGTGAAAATGGCCAGGGGAAGGAGGCACTGAGAGCATATGCCTCTGACAACCTCTATTCTTTGAGAAACCATCCGTAAGATTCCATGAAGCTTTCCCTCATCACCCCAGCTAGTGAGTGTCTTCTATTTGCTCTGAATTCTGATAGTCTGCTGCTTTCACGCATTTCAAGGAACACATCGTAAATTGCCTTATGCTGAGACTATTTATTTACTTGACCTAAATTCCTTACTAGATTCTAAGCTGCATGATGGACCTCACCCATACTAGAAATTTAGTATAAGTTAGCTGTATTAACTAATTAGCAACAGGGCGTATGTTTGAACTGCATGGTAGGTGGAAGTCTGACTGCTCTTTACAGACCTGCTCTAAGACCAGAAACTTGAAAACTTGGTCAGCTGAAGAAAGCCCTGTGCTAATCACCACAGTGTATTACTGCTCAGCACACTCTCCAGTAGAGTGAGTTTCTTACATTTTTGTGTCTCTTGTACGTGAGGCATTGACCCCATTCTAGCCTTCTTACTGAGTTCACTGAAAATCTCCATCTGCAAGCTCCTCCCCAACATGCACCCCCAAGCACGCACAAATGGAATTATTTGAAGAGAAGCTGTAGAAACTGAAGTTATGGCCTGGTAGTAGCTTAAACATGACTCTCTGTTTCAATATATTAAGATTTTAAATAATATAGGACAGAAACTCTATGATCCCAATGTGAAATGAATTATCCAGATATAATTCACAAAATATTTTTTTATTTTTCCCTTTTTTAGGATATAGTATAATTTCACTAATATCAGTTGGTCTCAGCTGGACATTCTCCATTTGTCCCTCCAGCTCCACTCACTACCCTCTCTCTCACAGCTTCGCCCCAGGCTGACCACGAACCAAATCACCCAGGTTCTCTAGCCCTCTTGATTCCCGAGGCCCTTGCAGGAGGGTAGGGGCAGGAGAAGAGAGCATTCAGGGCACCATTACCTCAGCTCCCTTCATGCAGGTCTGTGGGTTGGCAGTAGCTTTGTTTTTCCACCAAGGTCTCCTCTTCTGAAAACACAGCTGCAAGTCTCTGCCCTGGTCCACACTCTTACTGTGGAGCTAATGGGAATTTCAGAAAGGAAGGTTGATGCTGAGTCAATGAGAGCTTTTTTACTTATTCTTCTTCTCATTTTGAAGTAGGGAAAGATAACACACATGTAAAAGGTAATTCCAAGCTGTATATTATCAAGTTGTTTATTTTTGTAGCAAGAATTTCAGGCTATAAAATCAGCTTTGCGTTTTAGTAGCTGCCATCAGCAGGGTAGCTTGGCTATAGGGTATCCAGGTAGTCCTTTTGTTGGAGTGCCAAAGTCAAAGAAATTGCTGACCTAATGCTCCAAATGGGAGAATCTAACCATGGTGCACACAACTCACCAGAGGGTTGAGGCCTCCTGCTCCTGGATTTGGGAGACAATTTCCTGGTATAGTTCAAATGTGTCCCCCAAAAGTTCATGTGTTAAAAACTTAATTCTCATTATAACAGTATTAAAAAGGATGGGAAATCAAATTATGATATTTGAAAGGTGCCATGCAGAGGTGATTGGATCATGAGAACCATGCTCTCCTGAATGGATTAATCCACTTATGGAGTAATGAGTTTTCATGAGTGTGAACTGGTGGCTTTATGAGGAATGCATAAGAGAGCTCTTACCATTCTCACCATGTAATACCCTGCATTGCCATTGGACCCACCAGAAGAAGGCCCTTACCACATGCACCTCCTGGATCGTGGACTTCCCAGCCTCCAAAACCATAAGAAATAAATTCTATTTTGTTTTCTTATAAATTACCCAGTTTGAAGTATTTTGTTAACAGTAACAGAAATGGACTAATAAAGAAAAATGGTACCAAGAGTAGGATGTTGCTTATAATAAAAATTTGAAAATGTGGTATTAGCTTTGGAACTGGGTGATGGACAGAGGCTGGAAGAATTTGGAGGAGCAGATTAGAAAAAGCCTAGATTCTGGTAAGGGTTTAGAAAGCAAGAAAACCAGGGAAAGTTTGGAAAGTCTTAGAGATTGGTTAAGTGGTAGTGACCAGAATACTGATAAATATATGGACAGTAAGGCAATTACAAGAAGGTCCTAGATGTAAATAAGAAGGAGCTTACTGGAAACTGGGGCAAAGATCACCCTTGTTATGAACTGGGAAAGAACTTGGCTGCATTGCGTGTGTGCCCAAGGGTTTTATGGAATGCAGAACTTAAGAGTTATGAACCAGAGTATTTGGCAGAAGAAATTTCTAAGCAGAAAAGCATTCAAGCAGCTGTGTGGCTACTTGTAACAGCCTATGATCAGTTATGGCAACAAAGGCATGACAATAAAGCTGAAGTGTATAATTAAAAGGGAAGCAAAGGGTAAAAAATTGGAAAACTCTCAGCCTGACCATGTAAAGAGTAAAACAGTATGTTCAATAGAGAAAACCAAGGATGTAGCCTGGCAACCATTTGCTAAGGAGATCAAAAGAGAAAGAAGAAATCAAAAGAATGGAAGAAAGACCCCAAGGCATTTCAGAGATCTTTGAGGCAACTTCTCCCATCACACGACCAGAGGCCTTTGGAGACAGAATTGTTTCAGGGAACAAGCCTGAGGTGCCCTCCACAGGCTTGCTGCCCAAAGCCACCTTGGGATGCTACTCCCCATCCAGATGCTCTAGCTATAGCTAAATTGACCCCAGGTTCTACTGGACCTGCTGCTTCAGATGATACAAGCCGGAAGCCTTGGTGGCATCCATAAGTCTGCAGGCTCACAGAATGCAATAGCTGTGGAGACATGGCAGGCTCCACCCTAATTTTAAAGGATGTATGAAAAAGCCAGGGGAACCCAGAAGAGATTTATCACAGGGGCAGAGTCACCACAGAGAGCCCTCACTAGAGCAATACCAAGCAAAAATGTGGGGTTGAAGTTGCTGCAGAGAATGCCCACCAGGTCCGTGCCTACTGGAGCCATGGGAGTGGGACCACCACGGAGACCCCAGAATTATAGAGCTACCAGCATGCAACGGCAGCCTGAAAGAACTAAA